CCCCCCCCAAATATACGGCGCAAGAGTAGTTGTTGAATACAGTCTCAGAGCAACTCTACTATCAAGGGACTGAGATACTGAGAGAAAATCTCACACACCCAGATCTCTCCCCCCAGACGCGCCAGACCGCACATCTCGTCTCCGTCCCGCGTCCCGCCCACCGTGTGGGCGAGCGAGCTGCGACCTCACCTCACACCTGCTGCTGCTCCTCCACGCTCCGACACCTCGCGCTCGAGGCCCTCGCGAAGATCTTTACTGCTGCCGCACGGAGGCTAGTGAGAGAGCGAGAGTGTCCGCAGACGGAGACCGCTCGAGACGGCGAGAGAGAGAGAGAGAGGGAGAGAGAGAGAGAGAGAGAGAGAGAGAGAGAGAGAGAGAGAGAGAGAGAGAGAGAGAGAGAGAGAGTCGCCGGCCGCAGCTCCCGCGGCATATGGCGAGCCGCAGCATATGGTTCCGTGGCACCGAGAGCCCTGCCACAGGGCAGTGTGCCGAAACGGCGACACGCGACAGCCTGGCGACAGCGGCGGCTGAGAAAGCACCAGGCTATCCCACAGCCACACGAGCTGCGCGGGTGGCGCTGATGCTCCCGCGCCCCATTCTCCATTTCGACTAGACCGCACGATGCTGGTGTGCCCAGTCGCCAATCTCGCTGGCGCGCGTGCGAGCGAGGCGTGTGAGAGGGCATGCTGCAGCGCCACAATCAGGGCGCCGCATCCAGCTCGGCGAGCAGTCGCTGCACCTGGCGAGAGAGGGGGGGGGGTGGGGGGGGGGGGCGGGGGGGGGGGCTAAGCCCCGAGGGGGGCGGGTGTGGAAAACGGACGGTGGGGCGGGTCTTGCCCGGGCGGGCGGGGCGTGGGAGGGTGGTGCGGGGTGTGGGAGGGCGGTTTCGGTGGCCGGTCGCCTGCGTCGGCAGAGGCCCCTCGGGCGTGATGTTCAGCGCGGCGTTCGCCTGCTTGACGAGGGCTGCCATCGGCAGCGAGGTGTCGAGGGAGAGGTGCGACGCCACCGCCTGCACCGTCTCCTTGAGGCTGCCTGCGAGTGGGGCGGCCGCAGCCCGGCGGTGAGACGGAGGGGCGAGAGTTGTCCCTAGGGTTAGGGTTAGGGTTAGGGTTAGGGTTAGGCGGTGAGACGGAGGGGCGAGAGTTGTCCCGCAACCTCTCGTGGCGCACGCCTCGCTTCCCCGCCCCGACCGTCGCCGCGCCCGTTGAGGCTGCCGCCGCCCGGAGTGACGCTGGCTGCGCTGCCACCGCCGCCACCCGAGTCTCTCCCGTCTGCACCGGAGCCTCTGCCGCTGGTGCTCCCGTTAGTGGGCGGCGCGGCGGCGGCGGCTGCCTTTGCGCGCGGCGGCGGCGGCGCCGCCGGCCCGACGGGCGGAGCCTGGCCTGGCCGGCGCATCAGCACGCGCATGGGCTGCACCTCGAGCGGCGGAGGAGGGAGCACGTCCGGCTCGTGGGCCGGCCGCTGCGTGCCGAGCTCGGGGAAATCGCCGTCCGCAAGCGACCTCCACGCGCCCGAGGAGTGCGCCGGCAGCGCCCCCCACGCCGCCTCGGGCGACGGTGGCGCCGCGGCGCGCGGGTCGCAAGGGGCCGCAGACACCGACCGGACGCCGAGCGAGCCTTGCACCTCAGAGCGGAGCACCTCCGCCTCTGCGGCGGCCGCGGCGCTCCTCCGGTCTTTTTCGGCGCGCAGCGCCGCGGCGGCGCGGTCCACATCGCCGCCGGCCTCGAGGAGCGCAGCGGCAGCGACGTGGACAGGATACCTACCCCCACAACCCGCGACGCGTCTCGATGCCACGCGCCGGCCGCGCGGAGGCAGGGAGGCTCTCTCGCGCGCGCCCGAGGCTCGTGAGCGACGCGAGTCGCCGCCGCGCGTCCTCCGACCCCTCCTGCTGCGCCTATACGGGAGGGCTCCCAGACGGGTCAGGGACGGCTCCTGCCGGCCTGCGAACTTCCCGCCCCACCTGGATGGCGCGCAGGTCCTTCACCTCGCCAGACGCGCCGCCCGCCCCTTCGCAAGGAGCAGCGGCCGTGCCGCCGCTGCAGCGGCCGCGGCCGCCGTAGCCCTCGCCGCCGCCACTGCCGTTGGTGCCGTTGGCGCCACCGCCACCGCCACCGCCACCGCCACCGCCACCGCCACCGCCTCTGCCACCGCCACCGCCTCCGCCACCGCCACCGCCTCCACCACCGCCGCCACCGCCACCGCCTCCGCCACCGCTGCCGCCACTACTGCCGCCGCCGCTGCCGCCGCCGCTGCCGCCACTACTGCCGCCGCTGCCACCGGTGCTCTTCCACGCGGGACGGGAAGGCGGCGGCGCCGGCACAAACGTGGGACGGGACGGCTCGCGTCGCCGCCACTCGGGCACGTCCTCCTCCTCGGACGACCTCCGTGGCAAGTCTCGATGCGGCGGCGATTGCGGCGATTGCGGCGGCTGCGACGGCCTCTGCTGCGAGCCGGCCGCCGACTCGGCCTTGCGCGGCTCCTCGCGTCTGCGGTGCACCTCGCCCAGCGTGGGGAAAGCGGCCACGGCCGCCGCCGCCGCCTCCTTTGCCAGCGCCTCCTGCTCCCGCTCGACCACCTCCACCTCCCGCGCGGCACGGGCGGCGGCCTCCTGCGCCGCCGCCGCGCGCGCAGTGGCGGCGCGTGCCTCGCGGGCGGTCTCTAACGCCTCGCGGGCCGCTCGGAGCGCCTCCGCCTGCTCCTCCGCCACCTCCTCCGCCACGGCGGCGCTGTTCGCTCTCATGAGTCTGATACGCCGTTTTTCTTATTCGCGTGCTACAGGCCAGGAAGTTGAACTCCCCACCCTCGCCCAGGGATCTACCATGCTGTCTTAATCCGACAGCTTCGGCACCGCCTGCGCTCGGCACCGCCTCGGTAGAACACAAAATTACTCCTGGATAGGGTGCCCACAGGACCCAAAAGAAAATAGCTTTCCGCCTCAAAAAGGGACGCACGAGGCAAATCTGATGTTGGATTGTTCCAATAGGAGCGAGGCCTCTTCCGTTGGGGGACCGAGTGAATAGGAAACGAGGGTTTCCCATTGTGTCCCCTTCGCGTGCGAGCGTGACACTGCACTTGGCGCCGAGCGCCCGCGGCTCAGACCTTGTGCAGGCCACCCCTCGGTGGAGGCACCGGTCCGGACCGATGGCGCTCGGTGTGGAGCAAGCAAGACCCCCCCCCCCCCCCCCCATCGGCGCGCGCTCGCCATTCCAACGGGCGCCAGGAGCACCAAGAGGACTCCTCATGGCTGCCTCCAAGTGGGCTTCGACCGGCCTCGGCTGGGGGGGCGGGTTGTCCCGGTTGCGGACGCCTTCTGCAGCCCCCTGGGATGGGGACAGCACCCCAAAGCTGCCCCCGGCGGCATACAGCACTGCCAGCCAGCCTCTTCCTCCTCCTCAAGGGCTGTACTATAGGCCATATTGCGCCGCCTCCTACTGGCAGCCGGGCGGGCGCGCGCCGCGGGCGCCTCGGCGCGCGCACGGCTCGCAAAGTTCGAACGAGTACTGCCGCCCGGCCGCCTCAAGGCTGCCGGGCGGCAGTACTCGCCTCGCAAGGCGCGCACCGGCTGCTCTGGCTGCTGCGCCGGCGGCCGCTGCGCTGGCCGCTGCTGCGCCGGCTGGCGGGCGGCACGGCCGCCGGCGGCCGCTGCACCCGCGCCTTCCCTCGCGGGCGCCGTCGCGTCGCGCGCGCGCAACTGTGCTGGCACACGGCACGCGTCGTCACTCAGCCGCGGAGAACAGGCGGTGCAGCGCGCGAAGCGCGCGCGATCTCGTACTTTTAAGGCTGGATCCGGCCATTCCAAGGGTATACCTTTGAGAATCCCCAGCGTCCCACCCTCCTAGTCACACTCTCAATATCTCGACTATCCAACATGAAGTGCTGCGATCGGGAGTGCCCCATTTCTTTTTCCTTTCTTTTTTTGGGTGTCCTGTGGGCACGCCTATCCTGGACTCATCAGAACGTGACGACCTGACGTGAGAGTGTTAGAGTTGTTTGGTATTGCTAAAAATCTCTCTCTCAGAACTCAAACAAAATCTCTCCTCAGAACTCTGACCCTGAGGGAAGGTGTAGAGGATGTAGAGAGTAGAGTGTAGAGCGCTGTAGAGCTGTAGAGCTGTAGAGCTCTACATCCGCCGCGGGACGAAGCGCCTGCGTTGTAGAGCGATGTAGAGCGCGATTTTGCTGTAGAGTTTGTTGCAGAGGCTCTACAGACTACAGCCAAACCGGGAGGGTGTAGAGGATGTGTAGAGTGTAGAGCGCTGTAGAGATGTAGAGCGCTGGAGAGCGCTCTAGAGCGCTGTAGAGCCTGTGTAGAGCTGTAGAGCTCTACATCCGCCGCGTGACGATGTGCCTCCGTTGTAGAGCGATGTAGAGCGCGATTTTGCTGTAGAGTTTGTTGTATGTAGAGGCTCTACTCTGTCTACAGCCAAACCGCCGGGAAGGTGCAGTGACTCAAGGAGGTCGAGCCGCGCTAATGGGGTGTCTCCGAGCTTACTGGAGCTCTGGTGGACGGTGGACGGCCCTGACTATCCCTGACACACAGAGAGTCACTCTGACGGCACATAACACCCTGTAACTGCGTCATGACCAGCCTGCCATGCGTCGCCGGTGCGGATTCGTCGCTGTGCTTCTTTAGCAGGCGGTGGACTGTCGGCTGCGAGGACGGTCGCATTTGCGCGAGGCGAGGCGAGCATTGCTGCGCGTTGCATGCGCCATGACTCGCGCCAGCGCGTGCGGGAGCTCCTGGCTGAGCGTTGAGTCCAGGCGAGTTGCGCTGGCCACGATCGCTACGCCGAGCCGAGCTGACGCGCCGAGGCGCCGGCCAGTCGCAGCCGTGAGGCATGCCACAGCAGCAGAGGCACCTGCCACGTGCCACCCATTGGGCGGGCAGACAGAAGGCCAGGGCAGCACTGGCAAGTGCAACGCGCCTCATTTCGGAGAGCGGCCGTGCCTCGTTCGCCGCTTATGATGTAGAGTTTGTTGTAGAGATTTCACGTTGTAGAGCGCCTCTACATCGCTCTATACAACGCAGGCGCTTCGTCCCGCGCGCCGCGGCGGATGTAGAGCTCTACAGCTCTACAGCGCTCTACAGCGCTACAGCTCTACAGCGCTCGACTACACTCTACATCCTCGCTACACACCCTCCCTCAGCCGCTGACGACCTCTCTACTGACTCTGTGTGTGCCGTGTAGAGAGTTCGTGTATATAGTGTGTGAATCAGACGCCAATTGCCTGCGGGGGCAAGTGCAGGGTGGGCGTGCTTTCAGAGAACAGAGTTGAGAGTATGGTGCCGGAAAAATACCGCGGGACACCACGCGCGACCCCATGTCGTGGCTCGTGGGTCCCACCTCGCACCTGCACAGTCGCTGTGAGTCGCACCCCAGCCACCCAAGTGCTTGCCAGTCCATGGCCCCGCCGGCCCGCTCGCGCTCCCCGCCGCCCCACACAGCACGGCACGCCGCGCGCTGTGACCTATGTGGAGCAAACCCATTCTCCCAGAGTCCCTCGAAGTAGTCCCGGACACTGCCACCTCAACCTCGCGCCACCGCCTCGCTGTCCACCGCTGAAACCAACCTCGATCAACATCGAATTCCTCCCAAATCGGTCACCCACGGCACAAGCACAGAGTCCCGCAAGACGCTCAGAACCCTTCCGCCCGGTTGGGCACCCTCCGGTAGCCCCGCGCCTACGGCGAGAGGGGGCGCGGCATGAGAGAAGCGCTCGGCGCGGCGTCGCCGCGCCTCGCCTAAGGCCGCGGTGTGTGCCCCGCCGCGCGAAGTGACGAACTGGAGGCAATTCAGGGCGACCGAGGCGGCGAGCAGGGCGTACATGACGGTGCTGGAGCCCTCGTCCGCCGGCCGCACCGCCTCCTGCTGCGTGCAGCGTGTCTCGACGGCCTGCTCGATCGAGCGCAACGACTGCTGCAGCTCGGAGTGCTGGCGCTCGAGCGACTTCTGTTGCGTCTCCGCGAGCTGCAGCGCGGAGCGCGCCTGAGGGACAGGGAGTCTCGACGTCGCGCGCGGCGCGGGGACCGAGGGCGGGCAGAGGGCGGGCAGAGGGCGGGCAGAGGGCGGGCAGAGGGCGGGCAGAGGGCGGATGGAGGGCAGAGGGCGGTTGGGGCACGCTCCTGCGTCAGCGCGGCGCCGTTGTCCGTGGACGGCGGCGTGAGGGGCCTAGCCTCGCCGCCCAGCCCCTCGCTGCCGATGGCGGGCCCCGCCTTTCGCAGGATGAGCGAGACGTCGAGCCCGCCCCCCTTGTGCACGCCCGTCACCGAGAAGAACCAGTCGTGCTTGCGCAGCAGCTCCTGCGTCTCCTTGCGCAGTCGCGTCCAAGCGCCGCCCTTGGTGTGACCGAAGCGGTCGAGCAGGAAGGGGTGCTCGGCGATCTTCTGCGGGAAGAAGCACTCGCCGCCGCAGTCCGAGTTGTTGGTCGGCGCCTGCTGCGCGTGCGACGCGTCCCACGGCAGCGCGCCGATCAGGATGTCCTCGATAATGTAGAAGCCGCCCGGGCGGAGGCGTGGCCAGAGCACGTGCAGCGTCTTTTCCTGGTCGAGGAAGCGGTGCGAGCCGTCGTCGAGGATGATGTCGAGCTGCGGCGGAAGCCGGACGCGCGAGAGCTGAGCCGGGTCCGACGCGTCGGTGTTCAGCGTCAGGTGCACCTGGGCGGGCGGTGGGGAAGGGCGGCGCGGGAGGCTGAGGGAAAGAAGGGGCCTGGCGACTGCGGGCGAGGTGTGGCGGGGCGGGGTGTGCTGGCGACTGGCGGGCGCGTGTCAAATGACTCGCGGCTCCGGAGGGGCCAAGGTGCCAGGTTGGCGGGGCGAGGAGCGCCCGCGGGTCAGACCACATCGACCGGTTGTACTCGCAGCCGAACTTGGCCTGGTGCGCGACGACGCGGTCCGTGGCGCCGCCGGGGACCGCGCGCTTGGCCACCTCCTCGGTCGTCTTGATGTCGATGGGGTAGATGTGTGCCTTTGGAAAGTAAATCAGCCACGAGGCGACCGACGGCGCGGTGTCCTCGCCAATCCCAATCTCGAGGATGGAGGTGACGACGTTGCGGATCGAACCAAAGATCTGGTGGTACGCCGACGCGTAGTGGTGCTTGCTCTGCCAGAAGGTGCCCTTGTCGGAACAGTACTGGTCGTACAGCTTTGAGAGCTCGTTCACAGGGCACGACGGCGGGCACGCCGCGTCGGACGGACGGCCGTGGCTGAGCCCGGCGAGAGCGAGGGTGAGCAGTCTGAGCGGTGCGCAGGTCGAGCGGCACATGGATCCGGCGCTCGACGAGCGTTAGGAAAGGCCGACTCCACTGCCCGCAGCGGCTCAGTCGCTCCTCTCGGCGATAGCATGGAGAAATCGCTTACCCAAGATGCGCCGGGCTCTGCGCGAAAAGGGAGGGGGAAGCGAGAGGGCTGCGGCAACGACCGCCGGACGAGTGTTCAAAAATCTCTCTCAACCGGACCCGCCAAGGGACGATGATGTAGCAAACGACAAAACCAGTCGACATACTGCGGACCCGCCAGAGCCTTCCAGGCGGCATTCAACCGAGCTGTCTGTCGACTATTCGGGGCTGGGAGTTTTCGCTGCTCCGGTCACGGCCTCACGCGTTCCCCCCCTACTTAGGCAGCCTTGTTGATCTCGCTTCCGCGAGACCCACAATGCTGACCCTGAACTTCGATCAGACTCGGTTTCGACACGCCCTCCCGGAGGATGACGGGCGCAGAATCTCTTCACGTCCCTTTGCCCGACTCCGTTACAGACAGACGCTACTCTGTCCGGCAGATTGATCGCTACTTGAGCTTTTGCGCACGCGGCACAGTGACATCTACTGTGAAGCCGAGGTACATATCCAGGTCAACGGATTGCGGCCACTCCAATTGTGGCTTGTGCCGGTTCGTGCAACGCCTGATCGCGCGAAGAGGGCAGGAGGGTGTGTATATGCTGCTTTTGCTCCGCGTGAGGCTTGAGCACGCGCCCACCGCGCTCGCGCCCTTCGAGTGCGCCGGCTTTTGCCTCGTCGGACTCCGAACGGCCGTGCCGACCGGTGACGCGCTCATCGCGCTCCGGTGGCACGCCGAGGCCAACAACACAGACGTCACCGCGCAGCTCTGTGAAGCCGCGAGAGCACAATTGCCGGCGGGTGTCGCACTGTCGATCACAGCCTCGCAAGAGGACGCGCTGGAGCAGATGCGCGCCCACTTCGGCCCTCGCGAGGTGGTTCAGTGGGCTGCAGACCCGGCCGACCCAAGCCGGCGCGCCGAGCCGCCGCTCGGAGACGCACTGCAGCACGCGGGCGCGCCCTGGCTGGAGGAGGTGCTCCGCGCCGCCCCAGGCTCGAGCGGTGCGGGCGCCGCCTTTGTCCGCCGGCTGAGGCGAGACGGGTACGCACCGCTGCTCCTCACCGCATCGCAAGCGGCGCTCTGGCGAGAGGTGCCGCCGCCGCAGCCCGTCCCACCGCGGCCGTCGCCCCCGCCGCCCGCTCCCCCTCGTCACGCGCCGCCGCCCTCGCCACGCCCTTCCTCGCCACTGCCCTCAGGTGGAGGGGTCCGCGGCGACATGGTTCGCCCAGTCGACCGAAGCCAAGCTCGAGCAGGCGGGCGCCTACGCCCACATTGACCGCAAGTTCACCGGCTACCGCGACGGAAAGTACCGCGAGCAGCTCGAGGTGCGGGCGACGCCCGGCGCCGTCCACCCGGCGCCGGTCGACGCAGACGGCCGGCTGCGCTTCTCGGTGAGCCGCCCCTCCCCCCTTCTGGCACAAACCCGCGCATCCGCCACCCCTCGCCTCACCCGCCCGCTCCACGCCCGAGGCGGCCCTCTCCCTGCTCGTGCGGACGCTGGACGGGGTCGCGCGCGGCCTGCTCCCACACGTCGCCGCGGAGCTCGGCTGTGAGCCTCGCTTCCTCGCCGGACTCTGCGACGCCGCGCCATCCGCCCCGAGTGACAACGGCAGCAGCGAGGACAGAGGCGAGGACGGAGGCGAGGACGGAGGCGAGGACGGAGGCGAGGTCGGAGGTGAGGTCTCGGGCGCTTGCGGGTGCAGAGGCGTGCCGCTGATCGAGGCGTCCGAACTCGACGCCGCGGTGACGTCGGAGGCGGAGCGCATCCGAGGCGCAGCGCGCGCCTCTGCCTCCTTCATCGACGCCGGCGCCGACGCTGCGGAGGCGCCGCGGCTGGCGCACTCGCTGCTTCGGCTCTGCCGGTACGACTCGCGGCGTGAGGGTGCGTACGGCACCGATGTGCTCTGCGAAGAGCACCACGACGTGGGCGCGCTGCTCCCGCCACTCACCCTTGGACCCTCCCGCCACTCACCCTTGGACCCTCACCCTTGGACCCTCGAGAAGAGGGGAGCGGCGCCGGTGGGCTGCCACAGCAGCGCGCACATCTCTGGGAGTAGGCCTGCTCACCCTGGACGTGTGCGCTTCCGCCGCCGGGCTGCACGCACTCCGCCGCTCCGACGGGCTGTGGGTGCCTGTGGAGGAGACAGCGCTGCGAGCCGACGGCGGAGTCGCTCTCGTCGTCATGGTCGGCGACACTCTCGCCCGCCTCTCGGCGGGACACTTTGCGCCGTGCAAGCACCGCGTGGTGGCGCCTCGCTCGGGCGAACGAGTCGGGCTGCCCTTCCTCTTCCGCGGCCGCTCCGACGCCGTCCTCGACACGCGGCCGGCGCTGGCGGCCGCCGCCGCGGCGGGAAGAGTTGCGCATTTGGCCGAGCTCGAGACGGTCACCATCAGGGACCTGCCCAGCTTCGACTCGGCAAGAAGCATCCTCAAGGGCTGGTTTCGAAGCGTTCGCAAACCCAAACCCATCGAGTCCGCGATGTGAGCACGTCGCACGCCGCCCGACAGCGGTTTCGTGTCGTTTTGGGGTACAGTCGGTTGTCTACAGAGAGATGTGTCGAAGAGGTGCGGGGCACTCTCTCTGAGAGCGTGAGAGGGGACACGTGTGTGTGTGCTCTAATGTGAAGATTGCACACACGCCTAAGGGGATGGAGCCCTTGCCCTCACAGCGTGGCGGGGTGTGTGGACTGGACTCTGGAGAGAGCGAGGGGCCACGAAATCTCACAAGCATGCATGTGTGTACACGTAGTCACCTCGATCTGACCCTCGAGGATCGGAGAACATGCGCCCCCGCCCACCGGCACCCGGCGCACGCACCGCGCACGCCTGCTGTGAGTGCACATAGACACCAACCAGCAACCTCCCAGCCGCCGCCCCATCTCCAATGTACTCTGAGTCTCTCTCTCCCATCTCGCTCGTCTCTGTCTCAGATTGGTATCTCTCTCTCTCACCAACAGAGCCACAAAATCAGCTCTCTCACCTGCTCGCTCAGCGTTGCACGGGTCGGCCTCTCGCCCCCCGCGCCCTGCGGTCTCCCCGGTCCTTAAGTGGAGCGGCGCGCTAAGTATCCGGTTGAGTGGAGCGGCGCCCAAGTATACGACGCGACTGCAGTTACTGCAGCATACTCAGGAGCTTCTGAGCTCCATCATAGGATGACGGGGACCTCATTCTGGCTATACTTGATGAAGGGCTTAATCCCACCGATCTCGATGAGGATCGTTGCCTCGACGTGCGCCAGCGCGGGGTCGGCGTGACCCCCGATTCCGCGTTGATAAAAATCAAATGCCTGCATCGCGTAGAGCAGTTTGATGACCGCGCTCACCACAGCGGGCGAGTTGCAGTCGATGATCACAGGGAGCCACTCCATCCTCTCGGCCTCCAGGTACTCGAAGCCAGACATTTTAATTGTTCTCTCGGCGCCGAGAGAAGGCAAGTCAACCGCAGCGATCCTCGTGCCGTCGTAATAGACATCGACGATGAGCCCCTCGATTAGGAGCTCCGAGCCGACCGGGTTTTTCATCTCGAGCCGCACGTACTGCTGCAAGCAACCAGACCCGCCGAAAATCGGTCCAGTCATCATTGTACTGATGGCTATAGGGATGTTGAAGTCGATGTGCACCACCTCGACTACGGCGCCAACATCCTCCGCGAGAGCATTCTCATAGCCGCCGAGGTCGAATGCCCCACGCGCTATCTTTGATATCAGATCGATCGGTGGTGGCGGCGGCGGGTATTTATTAAGCGTCCTCGTTTGGAAGGGGGTAACGCCTCTCCCGGTGGCCCCCATCGTTAGTTGCGAAAACGTTCTCCTCATCATCTTGGGGTAGCTGATGCCGGGTAGCGTGCAACGAACAAGGATGCCGCTGGAAGCTTCCGTATAGAACGGCTGCGAGGAATTGAGAATCAGGGCGATGAGCGGGCTCGACTTGTTCGCGACGAACGTGTCAAACACAACTGAAGCACCAAGAGACTCGCGCTCGCGATTCGGCGCATCGAGGTGACCATGGACGAGCACCTTGGGATTTTGCCCCTGCAGGATCGCAAAGTCGGGCGGTGTTGTCACCTGCACAAAGTGCGGCCCCAGCGTCTCTCGCTCGTCACAGGGTGACGCCACCCCATTAAGGGGCACGTAGGCCGCAGTTTGAGTGCAACTCGATACATTCTTCTTGAGCTCGGTGTGCACGTTGATGAAGACCTTTCCCAGATCCATGATGTCAAAGCTCGACGGGTTGTTAATCTCGACCGAGATTGCAATGTCCGCCTGCGAGCATGGACCAAACGGATGAGCGTGAGCAAGTCTCTTCTCGTCTCGCACGCCCGCACCTCTGATGCGAAAGCAGTGGATGCCGCTGGTTTTGTAAGCGAGAGCTCGGAGAGCTTGATGCCAAATCCAGCCGCACCCTGGTCACCGACGCGGGCGAGTGTTGGCGCGAGCGAGCATGGCTTACAGCGTGCGATGTGAATAGGGGGTGGGCTCCTTGAGCTTGAGACTCTTTGCGAACTTGACGTCGGGGATGGTGAGGGTCCCCGTCGACGAGCAAAACGTCTGTCCGAGGGGGTCGAGCGATGACTGGGGGGGGGGGGGGGGGAGGCAGCGGTTTAGCGGGGCCCGCGGAAAAGTTTGCCTTGCCGAAAATGCAGCCGTTTTCTTCCCCTCGGAGCTCGACATTCACTTTGGACCAAATCTCAAACGAGATGTACTCCTCATGCACCGTCGCCCAGGCGATCTTCTGAAAGGCCTCTTTCTGATCTGGCGCGATGTGGAGCTTGCCTGGTGGAGGTGAGGGTGGGGGAGGCGAACTGAATGCACGAAAGAGGGATGCGCGCTTCGGCTGCGCCCAGCGCCTTGCAATATTGATCGGACCTTCCCGCCCCCGCCCAGCTGCAGCGGTTGCGATTGAAAGGTCCCAAAGTTCTCGCCCTCGAAGTCGAGGTACATGTAAGCTGAGCCCAGGGTCGCCAAAATCACGCCAAATTTGCCGCCGCCGAACGGGACCACCTGCGCGGTTGCGCGTGTCATCCGCCTCCGGATGCTGAGAGCTCCCTCAAGCCACGTGGGGCAGTGACCCTTTCATGGATTTGGGGGGGGGGAAGGGCGTTGCGCAGATCGATGGTGGCGTCGATCTCGAGATGGAACTCTGTGATGCCGGCAATGTTGGTGGCCCACATGGAGTCGGGCTGCCGCAGTCGCACAGCGTGCACCTCAAGCGAGACCAGGCTGACTAGCGTGTCGCACAGCCTGCGCCCATGCACGGTGCTAGTGACAGAGACATGCCGCTGAGAGGGTACTAGCTGCGGAGTGGTGTCGACATGCCTTGCTGCTGTGCCCAGAGCGGGTTCAATGTATGTGTGTCCGTTCAGTGTCTAGCTATTCTGCTCACGATGATGCGATGCCGGCGTTCAAATTGATGGCCAGCGGCAGGACGGGGCTCAAGCCGAAGAATGCAACGACGGACAGGGCAGCGAGTCCGATCAGTAGGATTGCTCGCCGCGTGAAACGCAAAATTGTAGACGGGGCGGCATCGGGTGGATCCGCCGCACCCTGCATGGCTCCGCTCCAGCGACGCCGTATCAGCGCAACCTACTCGAGTATCTAGGTAGCAGCATCTTACTTACTCGACCCTAAAGGGTCCCCCCCCCGGGGGGGGGATTCAGCTGACTGGTTGTGCCTCTCTGTCTGACGCTCAGGGGGGAGGGAGGCAGGAGCCTTCGACCACTTTTTTTCTGAAGGAAAAATTCTTAAAAGGTTGTGCCTGTGTGGTGCCAGAAAGAAAGAAAATCCACGGGGCTGTGTGGACGAAAGAAAGAAAGAAAACAGACCCACGGGTCGGTGCGTGTCGTGACCCCCTCGAACACCCGTACCCCCGCACCATCTCCGTCGCTCGGTTCTTTCAACCTTGCCACCTCCCACCACCGGGAAACACGTGTGAGTGTTAGAGTTGTTTGGTATTGCTAAATCTCTCTCTCTCTCTCTCTCCACCGGGAGCGGCCAGGACTCATAGACTCGGTCGAGAGACCCCAGATTGGCATCCATGCCTTTCTGGACAGGGTGGCCCGCCACAAGGACACCAGGAATTGCGATTCGCCGCTTTTCCTCCCGCTGTGATCCTGTGTGAGCTCTGTGTCTTGTTTTCCCAATACATTACCCAAGGGACAGGAGGCGTCACTAACTCGTGTGAAGAGCACTGATGCCGCAGTGAGTGAGTGGTCCCGGGCCCTGCGGGGAACTAAGTCGGCGCAAGTTAGTCTGTGAGCTGGACGAGGGCTAGTGGTGCGCCGTGGCGGATCAAGTGGTGAAGTGCTCCCGGGAGTCGTGGTCGGAGGCCGGGACACTTACGCGCACTAACTTAGTGTGCGGAAGTGAGTGCCTCCGGCCGGCCGAGGGGGGAGTGGTCCGGCGGGCCGCTCGTAGTGCCCTTCGCCGGCGGACGGAGAGGTGGGCTCGGCTACCACGCGCACTAAGTTAGTGCGCGTAGTGAGTGGGCCGCCGGCGAGCGGGCTAGTGGGTGGGTGCCTCCCGCCACCCCGCCCACCAACTTAGTGCGCGTAGTGGGTGGGCCGCCTTCTAGTGGTCGGCGAGGCCGTGGCCAGTGCCCCGGCCCTGCGGCGCCGCCTAGTGAGTGAGTGCTCGCCGACCCTCCCCACACTAAGTCGGCATCGGTGCTGTGTCCAAGACCTGGTGACGCCTCCTGCAAGGGAGGAAAGAAAGAAAGAAAACACACAACCCAGGGAGGGATGGGAGGACGGCACGCCGCCACCACACAGGGATTTTAAGAAGAGGGGTGTGGTGCGCTAGCCGTCGCCCACCCTTGGGCGTCTGCCTCTTCCTATCTCTCTTCGCAGTCCCTCTCCGATTCTCGCTGCAACCTTCATGCCCCAGAATTCTCATGCCACCTCGCGGTCTTCCCACTCTCGTCGTCGTCTCTCTCTTGTCGCTTCTTCCTCTGTCGCTTCGCTCCCCTCTGCCTCGTTCTGCGACGACGCCGCTGCCTGCCGATCCCTTGCTCTCGCCTCTCGGCGTAACTCTGCCCTCCAAGGGAGCACGCCAGAGCTCGTAAAAGATAGTACTAGCACGCGCCAGTTCGCACCTGTGTCGAGCCTGTCTGCTAAAAAAGAAAGAAAGAAAGAAAACAGGCAACCCAAGGGAGGGATGGGAGAACGGCACGCCGCCACCACACAGGGATTTTAAGGAGAGGAGTGTGATGCGCTAGCCGTCGCCCACCCTGGGGAGTCTGCCTCTTCGTGAGCCTGTCTGCTGTGAGAGAGAGTTTGCTTAAATTCTTTTGCGCGACGCGAGCGATGTCGATGGGGCTGTAGAAGCGGGAGACGACGCGCACGAGGAGGTCCGTGGGGAGGTCGAGGAGGCGGCTGGGCGGCGGCGTGGCCAGCGAGGGAACGGCAGCGATGGTGGCGGCGGTGGCGAGGCGGCGCGAGCGGCGTGATGGGGTGGACATCGCGAAGAAAAGAATTTGCGGTTCTCCAGCGAGAATTTCCGCGCACCGCACACGATTCACAAGAACGGTGGGCGACGGCTAGCACCACACCCCTCTCCTTAAAATCCCTGTGTGGTGGCGGCGTGCCGTCCTCCCATCCCTCCCGTCGTGGCTCTTTTCTTTCGACGTGGAGGCAAAGTACCGTACCTCCTCCGTGGCAGGGCGGCGCCTTCCTTGCCGCCTTCACCTTCAGCACCCTGTCGGGGAGCCGTTACCTGTTCGTCGGCGGACAGGTTGACGGCGGCGGGGCCCACCCCGGGTGTTTCTTCTGGTGGAGGCCCTAAAACCGCCGGGGTAGGGGTGCCGCTGTGGGGGTGTCGAGGGGTCGGGAGGGCGGGAGTGTGGACCGTGACCGAAGCCCTCCGCCGATAGAGGTGTCAGGCGGCAGGGCCCGGGAGGGGTGGGGCTCGCCAAACACGAGGCGTAGGGGAGGTCCATCCAAGGGGGCTCCCTTGAGGCGCGCCGCCGCTCCACAAAAGCAGGCATGGCAGCCACGCGTGGGACCGTCACCCTGCGCGTCATCGAGGCGCACTTCGAGGAGGCGTTCGTCGACGCGCCCGTCAACAGCACCTACTGTGCCGTCTGCGTCCTCGAGAAGACGCGCTGGCGGCGGCGGCGCTCGCAGGCGCGAGGGCGCGGGGCAGGTGAGGACCCCATGCGGCCAGTGTGGAACGAGGAGTTTGAGCTGGACGAGGTGCGCGACGACTCGCGCATCGTCGTCGATGTGTGGAACTGCGCCGCCGCCGGCGGCGACTCGGACGCCTTCTACGGCAAGGTGACGCTGCGGCTCGCCGAGCTGGCGCTCGCAAAGCTCTCGACCGACGCGGCGTGGCACGAGCTCCTGCCGGGTCGAATCCAGCTGCAGCTGCGCTGGGATCCAGCGGACGGCGACGGTACGCCGCTGGCCGCGCCGATCCCCCGCGGCGCGCCACTTCCCCTCACCGCAGACGCTGTTGCTACGCACGACCAAAACGGTGGCGCTGTTGCTGCTGCCGCCGCCGCCGCCAAGGTGGAGCGGGCAGCGGTGGAGCGGGCGGCAGCGGAGCGGGCAGCGGTGGAGCGGGCGGCAGCGGAGCGGGCAGCTGCGGAGCGGGCGGAGGCAGAGAGGGTGGCTGCGGAGCGGGCGGAGGCGGAGAGAGTAGCTGCGGAGCGGGCGGAGGCGGAGAAGAGGGAGCGCGAGCAGCAAGAGGAGCGAGATCGGCTCGAGCGGGCGGCGCGTGCGCGCGAGGAGGCGCGGAGGCGGGAGGAGGAGGCCGAGGCGGCGCGAAGAGAGCAGCAGGCGGCGGCGGCGCGGCAGCGGGTCGAAGCTGCCAGGGCCGAGCGCAAGGCTCGGGAGGCGGCAGAGGCGGCGGCGGCGGCGGCGGAGGCGGAGGCAAGGGCAGCGGAGGAGGCGAGAGCGGAGGCGAGGGCGGAGGCGAGGGCGAGGGCGGAGGCGGAGGCACTAGCGGCAGCAGAGGCAGAGGCGGCAGCAGAGGCAGAGCGCAAGGAGAGGGCGGCAGCAGAGGCGGCGGCGGCGGCCGAGGCGGCGGCGGCGGCCGAGGCGGCGGCGGCGGCCGAGGCGGCGGCGGCGGCCGAGGCGGCGGCGGCGGCCGAGGCGGCGGCGGCGCAGGTGCGTCTGAGGCTCGACCACTACGAGTACACTCACCGCGGCGGCAGCGGACACGGGCCCAAGGAGAACCAGGATGCGTACTTTGTGCTGCGCGTCGACGAAGCCAACTGGGCGTACGGCGTGCTGGACGGGCACGGAGGCGAGCACGGGCGGGTCGCGTCGATGGCGGCGTCCGCCGCGATGCAGGAGCACTTGCGGGCGCACTTTTGGCGGCTGCGCTCCGAGCCCGAGGCGGTGATGAGCGAGGTGTTCGAGGCGGCGCACGCCGCCATCTGGGAGGCGATCAAGGCGATGCCGGACGTGTTTGAGCGCGACGGGATGCTCGTCATGGAGGTGGGGAGATATGGGGAGATATGGGGAGATATGGGGAGATATGGGGAGATGCTCGTCATGGAGGTGGGGCAAGGGAGGGGGAAGAGAGAGGCGGGCGGGGGGGCAGCACTCGCGCGGAGCCGTCTCGGAAGTGCCTCGATAGGTGGAGGAGGAGGACTGGCCCCTGGGGTACGACGCCGTCGACGGCGGCTCCACCGCGTCGGTCGCCGCGATCGTCGACGGCAGAACGCTCGTCTATGCTGCGGTCGGCGACTCTGCAGGCATCCTCGCGCAACCCGGCAACGGCGAGGCAAAGGTCGAGGAGCTCGTGGCGGAGCACGCGCCCGTGCGGCTGGACGAGTGGGTCGCGCGGCTGCACAGCACCGGCATCGAGGCGAGACCTCGAGACCTCGCTAGAGGGCCCTCGCCTTGCCGGGCCCTCACCCCCGCCTCGCACCCCAACCCCGCACCCCAACCCCGCACCGACCTTGCCGCCGCCGCCCCCTTTCGCTCCCCCCCAGGTGGTCTACGACCACCCTGACATGTTCGAAGGCGAGGACCAGCTCTTGCGCGTCTTCGACCGCGACGCGACCGGCGCCTCCTCCTCCCCCCCCCCCCCCCTCTTGCCGCTCCGTCCCAGCGCGCGCGGTTGACGCTCTCGTGCTGCCGGCAGGCGCGTGGCGCCTCTCGGAGGAGGCGCTGCGCCGCGCGGACGAGATGGGCTGCGGCTTCAAGACGGAGCGAGGCGACCGCAGCGCGGTGCTGATGACGCCCGAGGAGGGACGCTTCTCGCAGATGATGCTCAACGTGACTCGCTCGCTCGGCGACTTTTACCACGGCCAGTACGGCGTCACCTGGCGGCCGGAGGTGGTGACGCGCGACTTGGCGGCTCGGCCCGCATTTCTTTTTGACGGCCGTATTTCTTTTTTATCAGGTGGTGACGCGCGACTTGGCGGAGGAGCTCGGCCCGGGCGGGAGGGCGGTGCTCTGCGTCGCGAGCGACGGCGTGTGGGATCTGTGGACGTTCGAGGAGGCGATGGCGGACTTGCTCGACGGGAGCGCGCTGCCGGCGGCGCAGCCGGCCCGGCGCAAGCTCGTGATGGACTTCATGGAGAACTCGCGGAATAAGGGGTACGACGCGTTTGGGGACAGCGCCGACAACCTAACGGGCATCGTGGTCTACATAGAGACGTGACAGGCAGAGGGGGGGGGGGGGGCATGGGGGCGGCGGCCTCGCACAGGGCAGTGCCGCGGCATCGGGGACACGTCCTGTCATGCGATGAGGCGAGAGGATCAGGCTCGCTGGCCGGCGCACAGAGGCAGCCAAGACGCCGCGTGTAGAGAGACTTGCGCAGGAGAACCGCCTTATTCGCTCGGATGCTTCAACGCCTCGATCGTGTCGAGCCACGAGAGCCTCTCGGCGACGGTCTCGTGTCGCTAGACGCTAGTCGATTTAATACGCAGACGTGTGTGCATGTGGCGTCAAGAGTTCAGTCAGAAACTCGTCCTGAGTCAAAAAAACTGTTCGGTTTTTAAAGGCAAAACACACTCAACGCTCTGCGAGCGGCAGCGGGTGCTCGGGGGTGCAGTGTGCAGAGGTTTTTTGCAACCCGCCCCGGCTAGGCCGCGGGCGCCCCCGCGCGCGGCCGCGGGCGGGGGGGCGCGCACGCGACCCACGCGCCACGGCCCTCAGCCTCACACTGAAACACATTCCCCTCCATGAAACTCTCTTTGAGTCGGAAAGATAAAAATGCATCTGCCTGAGCCCTGGTGTCGAGGTGTCGAGGCCCGGTGTCGAGGGTGTCGAGCTGCTGTCGAGCTGCTGTCGAGGGATAGAGGTGTCGAGGCCTGTCGAGGCCTGTCGAGGCCTGTCGAGGCCTGTCGAGGCCTGTTGAGGCCTGTCGAGGCTGAAACCATGCTTGACCGTGTCGAGGGGTGTCGAGGGGTGTCGAGGGTGTCGAGGGTGTCGAGGGTGTCGAGGGTGTCGAGCAGGTGTCGAGTGTTGTCAAGGGGTTTTGCGTCTAAGGTGTCGAGGTGTCCAAGGTGGCAGGATGCAGTTGCAGCCCATCAACAAAACTTGGGCAGCAGTTGCAAAGCTGTTTCATCCCTTAGTTGCAGCCTCAGTTGCACCCTGTTGATGTAGCACAACCTGAGCACAACCAACCAGTATACTCTCTGTGGACATTTGAGGACATCAAGTGCCGGGAGTCATTGCCACTGTGCACAAAGGTACTGTGCAGGCGCAGCACCGCAGCAGCGTCGCCGCTGCAGCAGCGTCGCCCCTGCAGCGCCACCGGCGCACAAAGCGCAACTGACCACAGCGCTCATGGCACAAGGCTGGTGCCATGAGTCAGTGGACATTGCCACTGCACAAGGTGCTGTCCAGCAGCTAAGGGCTGCCAGTACCCCATCGCAGCAGCGTCGCCGCCGCTGCAGCGTCGCCGTTGCAGCCAAGCGTCGCCAGTGCACAAAGCGCAATGGACCACAGGTCTGCACTCATGGCACAAGCTCACTGGTGTGAGGATTCATTGCCACTGTACAAGGTGCTGTGCAGCACCTGAGGGCTACCTGAGTACTGCCATGTTTGCTGCATCAACAGGGGTGTGAGTGTTAGATTTGTTTGGTATTGCTAAAAATCTCTCTCAACAGGGGTGCAACTGAGCTGCAACTTGAGCTAGAACTTGAGAGGCTGCAACTCAGGGATGAAAGTACTGCCAGCCAAGTTTGATTGCTGCTGCAACCCTGATTTCTAACTCTGACTCCAATGGGTCTACATCTCTGCTGTGTTAGGATCATCAGAGGTGTCGAGCGGTGTCGAGCGGTGTCGAGCGGTGTCGAGGGGTGTCGAGCGGTGTCGAGGGGTGTCGAGGGGTGTCGAGGTGTCGAGTTTGGCACCTTGACACGGTCGAGCATGGTTTCAGCCTAGATGGTGTCGAGGGGTGTCGAGGGGTGTCGAGGGGTGTCGAGGGGTGTCGAGTTGGTCGAGTTGGCATGGGGTGTCGAGGTGTCGAGTTGGTGTCGAGTTGGTGTCGAGGTTTGGTGTCGAGGTGTCGAGGCCAGGGCTCAGGCATCTGCATGTTAACATGTCACACGATGTGCCATCATCATCACACCTCCCTCTAGGACGCGCCGGGCCGCCACGCATCGTCCCGCGACGGCGGCGCGTCAGCTGTCGTGCGGCACTCCGCACGCATCGAACCACTCGTGTTCGCCCATCGATAAGCCGCGCAGCGCGTGCCGCGTCTCCGCCGGGCTCAGCCTGCCCCCTCCCTTCTCTCCCGCCGTCTCTCTCTGCTTCTCGCCATCGCCGTACATGAGAGGCGGAAACACCTCGAGGCCGTTGTAGCGCACACGCACCGTCTCGGCGCCGTCGACGTCCGCCCATACCTCGAACGCGACCGTGCTCGCGTACGGCGGCCACAGCGCCGCCGCCTTGCCGCCCCAGAGGCCCAGCGCCGAGAGCAGAGGCACCAGGGTCGAGTCGTGGCCCGAAAAGTAGCGCACCGCCGCGTGCGGCTTGCCGAGCTCCACGAAGGTCGACACCTCGTGGAGCAGCCGGCCAGCGATCAGCCGCAGCGCGCGCCGGTCGTCTTCGGCGCTGCTGCCGCCGCCGGCAGCGCAGGTGGTGTCCTGAACCGTCTCGACGACCGTGGCGAAGTGGGTGAGCGCCCAGTGGTCGCACGCAGTGCCGTCGTACGAAGGCCCCGCCGTGTCCTCGCACGGCCAGCCGTCGCGGAAGCCTCCGTGGCACCAGCGCGTCTGGTAGAGGTCGTTGAGGTTGAGGAGCTGGGCCGCCGGCAGGCTGCCGTCGCCATCCATCTTTTCGCCGAGCGCCCAGTGCGCAACCGGCGGCGAGCCGGACGATATTGCAACCCCCCACGCCCGCATCGCGGCGTCGTCCGCCGAGGCGAGGCCGTCACAGCCCCGCGATGGGTACAGCCACAGCTTCTCGCCCGGCTGCTGTACCTCGATGGACACGTCAGCGGCGCGCGAGGCGCTGCCCAGCAGGCCCTCGAGCAGCGCTCGGGCTGAGTCCTGCGTCCGGTTGACGTGGGTTGCGAGGACCGAGACGCCGCCGCGCTTGCCAAGCCTCGTGCGGGCCTCGTGGGTGCCGTGCCCTTCAAATGCGTTCCGGATGGCTCGCCCGACGGCGCGCAGCTGATCCTGGCCCTTGTCTGTCAGCTGCCCAACGTAGCACGCGCCGCCGCCGCCGCACGCGCTGTCCCACAGGCCCGAGCTCTTGCACCGCTCGCAGTCTCCCCACGCATTGTATTTATCCCGGCCGACATATTTCACGAGCGGAGAGCGATCGCCGTGCCGCGCCACAACCGCCATGCGCACGAGCTGCAGATTGTCCGCCCCGCCCATGTGCGGCGGCGGGGCCTGGCAGTAGTCATACACAAATGGTGCGGGCACCGCATTCAGGGCGGCCAGGCGCGGAAACGCGTGAGATCCAAGGAGGAGAGTGGCTGCACTCACAAGCAGCAACGCCGGTGGTCGCCAAGAGAAGGGCCGGGCGGTGGGAGCGGTGTACAAGCTGTACTCCGTCGAGGCCGACTCCATGTACATGCTGTGCCGGACGGAAGTGTGAACAGGTTTGTGTGAACAGGTTGGAGCAGCTCCTGAGCACGGCGCCGCAGGCGCCTGTTGATAGGTCCAGGTGGTAGCCCTGGATGGGCAATGCATACGCCTCACTGGGCCTTAGATCGCCCGACCGCGTCCCGGTGCTCTGTGGTCGGATTTGTGACGCCGCCGCACCGCGCCGCGGCCGGGGGCCCCCCGGAGGCCGAGGATGGCCGTGGCGGACCAGGACGAGCTCTGGGAGGTGAAGTGTCAGTGAGTATGTATGTATCTGAGGAGACGATTCAACTTTGGTGGGGAGCCGCTTTGTCCGTGGACGGCAAATCGTGGAGTTGCGAGTCACGCTCGGGCGGACAGGATCGATACCTGACAAACCCCGGGTATACCTGGAAAATACCTGGGTATCGTGCCGATTTCCTCAATTTTGCCTCAGATTTTGCCCCAGAACAGCTCTCAGACTCAGGGAAACTCGCGAGTTTCCCGAGGGAAACTCGAGAGAAACAGAATGGAGCACCAAACACCCTCTGGTTTCCCTGGAAACTTCCGGAAACGCAAAGTGCTGGGGACCCTCTGGTTTCCCTCTGGGTTGCCGGAAACCCTTGGAAAGGCCAAGCGGCGCGCGCACTTGTCATTTTGCCCGAGTCTGCGGTGTTCTGGGCGGTGTGGATGGAGGTGTGTGCGTCTTCCTGTCTTCCCAGGTGGGTGGCAGACTGCTGACTGGCGCATCGGTCCAGCGCTTCCTTATTGTCATTTTACCTAATCAGTAACCAGCCTCCGGCGGGGCCCCCCGCTACCATCCAAACCCGAGTACCGGTCTACTAATCATAGATAGAGGCTCAAGTGTGACATAAGTCCACACACATTCGACATACACATGCACAAAGCAAACTCTCACGACACACGGCAACCGGGTGGAGCGGCGGCGGCGGCGGCAGCAGCACGCGCGGGCGGACGGATTCGGACGGGGCGGAGCAGCAGCCGCCCAGGCGGCCGCTGCTCTGTCTGCCAGAGCGCGCCGTCTGCCTGCGCAGCTCGAGCGCGGTCAGGTGCAGGGAAGCGTGGCGGCGCGGGGAAGCGCGGCGCGGTGGTGGCGGCGGCGGCGGCAGCGGCACGCGCGGGCGGACGGATTCGGACTGGGCGGAGCAGCGACCGCCTGGGCGGCCGCTGCTCTGTCTGCCAGAGCGCGCCGTCTGTGCGCAGCTCGAGCGCGGTCAGGTGCACAGGGAAGCGTGGCGGCGCGGGGAAACGCGGCGGCTCGAGCGCGGTCAGGTGCACAGGGAAGCGTGGCGGCGCGGGGAAACGCGGCGGCGGTGGCGAGCAGGCGAGCGGCCCGCGCGCGGCGAGGCGGACAGGTGATCGGCAGGCGGGTGATGGGCCGGAGAGTGACCGCGCCCAGCGATCGGAGGCGAGCCGATCGTCGCTCGGCCGCAGCTGACCTCGAAGGCGTGCGGAGCGCGACTGTCGGTGTCGGAGGGCGGCCGTCATGTGGCGAGGAGGGAGGACGACAAGTGCGCGTTGTACGGGTCGCTCTTCATCGGCCAGTCGAGCGGCACTCAAGTCGAGACCGAGCATGGGCGACGAAAAGCGGTGGGGCCGGTGGGGAGGTAGGACGAGATTCGTTTCGCGCTTTCAAAAGCGGCTTCGCGCGCAGCGCAACTTTGGGTTTGCCACGAAAAGCGCTTCCAGCTGGAAAGGGGGCTACTGGGGCGGCCAATTCACACCTCGCGGGACTACTTATGTTTTCGTAAACGTAGTTGTGGCCCCCCGCTACGTCGCACGAGTGCAACCGGGTAGCGGGGGGCTAAAATTCCTAGATCCCGTCTCACCTGGGCCCGCAGCCTGGGGTGCCGGCCGAAGCTAAGAAACTACGGCGTGGGGTGGGTGGGGTGTCTGGAAAGGCTTAGAAACGGCGGCGTGCCGCGAGATCCTGTTTTCTTAATGGGAGAAAGAAAAGGGAGAGGGGAGGGTGCACATGCACATGCACAATCCCGTAGGAGGACTCTGCTGACATGTCCATGCGCATATGTTGTGATGTGCATGTCATGTGCATGCACCACACTGGGCAAATCGGCCGATTTCCAACCCACTAAATCATCACGGCTATTGTAGAGACAGACCATGTGCACAATATCTCTCACTCTAGCTAAGCCAGGGGAGGCGATACCGGGGCCGTACAGCAGCTTGACGGTGCTTCGCCGGCGTGCGTCCCGGAGCGGTGCCGGACGGGCGGTCCGTGGGAGGAAAACGAGGGACAGCGCCGACGGCGCTCTGATTCGACTTTTGACTTCAAACAAAGCCTACCGCACGCGCCGCGACGCGGCGCGTGCGGTAGGCACTCGGGATTTTGTCAGATCGGCGTGTTCACGCCGGCATCGTGTCCCTCACAACCTGCCCAGACTTTAGTCCACGACAGTACCAAGCGGTGAACCTCGCTAAAAATAACTTCACAGAGCGCTCAAATCCTTCCCTTCAAGGCCGTCCTCAACCCCTCCTTTGGGTTGATTTAATTTCTTTTTTCAAGGCACTCGGAGTGGGGCTGGGGGTCAGAAGAACCGTCCTTGCGCGGGACGACTGCGAGGTGGCATGAAGGTTGCAGCGAGAATCGGTGAGGCCCAGGAAGGCTGCCGATTTTGTCCTGCTGGAAAAACAAAAAGACTTCAAAACTCAAAAGACGAAAGCGCAAAAAAACCAGCTCATTTTTTAGAGACGGCTCTCGAGCTCGACGCGAACGGAGGTTTCCGGACGAGACTCAAGAACGTCAATGAGGGCTGCGAGAGAGAGCCTCGGGTGTGGCGCTACCATCGCTGGGATAGCTTCACATGCGCGAAGATGAAAGAGGGAATAGTCGTTGGATGCCTGCTCAAGGTGAGTGCTATGGCGAGCGATGACGAAGGGTTCGCGCTCAGCGTGACGAGCAAACTCAGGGAGTTCATGGCGCTCGGATACCCTGCACACGTGCTCAACGGGGTGATCGGACGCGCGTTTGCTCGGACAAAGGACGAACGGCTCCTACGAGCAAGACAGTGTTCGCAGTGGTGAGGAGGTTTCTTGCAAAACCCTTACCCAGACGAACCAAAAAATCCAAAAAGACAGACAAATGTATTGTGTCGGGCTACCGTCCAAAGGCGGGTGTAGTCGACCAAGGGACCACGAATCTGGTCTGTCGACAGCACGAATTTGGGATGGGACACCTTCGGGACCCGGCTGCGTGCTACTTGGATAGCACGCTTTCGGAGTACCGACGGCTAAGGCCGAGGCAGAAAAGGTTTCTGTTTTTTTCTCCGCTTTTCTTCACAGGATTTTCCTGTGAAGAGAGACGTAGAGAAACAGATCTTTCAAACTCGGTGTCGAACCACCAGCCCGACGCTCACTACAAGTGACAGCTGAAGCTGCAGCCCCAGCCAGGGCGTCTCCCTTGTACGTAGCATGGCCGATATCGAGTCGACGACCGTCAACTCCATCGATCTCTACAGCATTCCGGCTGTACTCACGGTCAACACCGCTGTCGTCGATGCCTGTACAGCAGCCTCACCCCGTGAAGGCGCTATGATACACCTCGTCGGTGCAGTAGTGAGCTTTCCACTGGGTGTCGCGCTCGCCGTTCACCTTGGATGCGGCGGTGGCCACGCCGACCTCGTGGCCCTCCTCGCCGCCGTTCTGGCTCTCTCCTGGGCTGCGATGGCAATACGGGTCGGAGCGGCCTTTCCCGGTCGAGAAGCGCTGGTGGTTGCACTGACGGTCCTGATCGGAGGGCATCTAGCCGTTGTCGCTCCCAGACATCGGCTCCTTCTTTCGGACCTCGCGACTACCTCCGGTGCTGCCGCAGTGGCCGTCCTCATCGCGTCCCTCTCCGTGGTATTTGAGGCGGCTGCGGGACGAACAGCCACCTCGCCGGCTTTAACTGCCATGCTGGTCGTCTCCGTGGTCGCATCGCTCCTCTCCGTCGCTTTTGCCGCGGCTACCCAATCTAACGTTTGCCGCGGCTACCCGACCAGCTCTCCGAAGCCGGTCCGCGCGACCATGCAGGCCACCATCGCCGCTGGCGCAGCTGCGGCAGTGCTAAGTCTCGCGCGGGGCAGCGGCCGGTGGATCCTGCCGGCCATTCTCCTTGCCCTTTCTCCGGTGAGGTGGCGGCGCTCCAACGACGCAAAGGCTGTGCCGTATCACGGCCGGCGCTGCTCTTTTCTGCGGGCGAGTCTCCTCTCCGTGGCGCCAAGCGTCCTTGGTGTGGTGTCGATCCTGGTTGGTATTCTCCTCGCCCGTCCGGGTGCTGGCATCGCCGCGGTCCCTCTCGGGCTTTGGCTAGCGCACACCGTCGACTCGGCGAGGGCACTCTCCATCGCCGCGCTGCCAAGCTGCTCCAGCCCTCGCGCCTTTCTCGGGCGTGCAGTGCTGTGGTCCGTGGTCATCATGCCGCCCTCATTGCTCGGCGCGGTTGCGGATCCAGCCGCCTTTGCCCTCCGCCCCGCCTCCTTTTGCGAGGCGGCTCGGCGACGCAGCCTCGTCGCCCTCATGGTGGCGTGCGGTATGGCCGCAGAGGTCGTCGCGGGGACATGGGACAGTGCGGGAGGCAGTATCGCACTATATGCCCTGCTGGGGGCCGCGCTACTCACAGAGGCAGCGCTCGCGTGGTGGTATCCCGTGACGGTCGCCGCAGTTTGCGATGCGTCGTCGAGGCGCGGCGGTGCGGTGAAGGCTGAGGAGGCGCCGCAGCGCCGCCGTTCCCGCCGGCTGCTGCAGCGATGCGGTCAAGGGGCGCGGGCCGCGCTTGCCTTCAGCACCTACGGCGTTGCTCTGTTTCTGCTCGCCATGTGGGTCTCCACGCACGACCCGGCGGCGGCGAGGTGGGCGGAGCGTCACCCGCAGCTTCGCGGCGTCAATCTTGGCGGCTGGCTGGTTGGCGAGCGCTGGCTCAATTACAAGTGGCAGGGTGACGGCTTCATATTTCACCCAAACTCGAGCGAATCGGAAGAGCCCGACTATTACCAAACCTCGCTTGCGCGCCAGAACGACAACGCCACGGCCGCCATCCTCGAGCACCGCGACAAGTGGTTCACTCGCGAGACCCTCCTCGACATCGCCGCGCGAGGCGTCGAGTCTGTTCGCGTGCCCTTTGGCTACTGGTTAACGGTGGCGAGCGAGGAGCAAGCGTATCCCTATCTCCGCGGCCGCGGGCTCGGCTACCTCGACGACGTCCTCGACTGGGCCGAAGAGGCAAACCTGACCGTGATGCTCGACCTGCATGCCGCGCCGGGCTCGCAGAGCGGAGAGCAGCAGAGCGGCCGCCTCTCCCACGACTGGCGGCCGGAGGACTGGGACGCGGAGGGCTCGCTCGCGGCGATCGAGACTGTCGCCGAGAGGTTTGCCAACCGCTCGTGCATCATCGCCGTCGAGCTGCTGAACGAGCCGCTACTCGACGCCGCCCGAGCGCTCGACTTCTACCAGCGCGGGGCGGAGGCGGTGCGGCGGCACATGGGCGCCGACGTGGCCGTCGTCATCAACCTCTACCGAGCGCAGAGCATCTTCACGCATGCCTGGGGGAGCTTCGACTGGAACCTGCCCGCGAGGCGCTTCCCCAACGTCCTCTACGATTTCCACGTATACACATGCTTCCACTATGCCGTTTGGATGCCGCTTTGGTTCTCCACGGGCCCGCTGGTCGAGCTGTACACCGCCGCCATCTCCCTCACCTTCCGGCCAACGCTCGTGGGCGAGTTCTCCAACTGCGTTGGCGACTGGTACGGGCGCGGCGGACGGGACTTTGACGAGTTGAGCCGCGAGGGACGGGCGGCGATGTACTCTGGCTTTGGCCGCCGTCAGGTGGCGGGAATCTTCCGTGGAGACCGCAGTGCTGCGGCCTTCTTCTGGACGTGGTATCACCCGGATGTGGATGACGTCGACGCGCTGTCGCAGTGGGACCTCAAGTACGTCTTGGAGCAGGGACTCCTCCCAGGCTTTTGACCAAGGCAGTCTTTAGTAGAGAATAAATAAATAAATAAAAACGGACACCTCTCTACTGTGAGATGGGTAAAAAGGAACAGGTCCCCGCCCTTTAGAGATACGTCGTACCACCTTTATATTTTATTACACATTGTGTGGCCCGCGCGGCCCGCGGCGCCGGAGCGAGAGGGGGCAGAGACTTCCAGACCCATTGTCATTGATCACTGTGGTCGAATGTGGACATGTGGCTTTACGTTTTTTAATTTTATCCATGGAAAAGAAGAATCTCTACAACTGCTGAGCCCACAACACTCAGTGTCAGTCTCAGACACCGCGGACGCGCGCTCGAATCGTTCAGGAGGGGAACGAGGGAGGCGTCTCTTGTGCCTGCTGCGGCTGAAGCTGCGGCGACAATTGTGGCAGTTGCAGGTGTGGCGGCTGCTCCTTGGGCAGCTGCGACGACGGCGCATGTAGGGGTGACACCAGCTGCGGCATCGGCGGCGGTTGCAGCTGTTGTGGCGGCTGCTGTCGCTGTCGTTGCTGCTGCTGCTGCTGCTGGAGTTGCTGTTGTTGCTGCTGTTGTTGCTGCTGTTGTTGCTGCTGTTGTTGCTGCTGCAGGGCTGCCAGGTGCTGCTGCTGCTGCTGCTGGTAGTACATCTGCTGCTGGTAGTACATCTGCTGCTGATAATACATCTGCTGCTGCTGCTGCTGCGACGGGTAGTACATCTGCTGCTGCGACGCCACCTGCATGTGCGGGTAGTGCATGCCTGCCCCTCCGGGAACGGCAGAAGTGCACGCGTGCTGCGCCTGCGAGATCATCGCCTTCGCCGCCTGCACCACCGCCGGCCGACCGACCAGCTGAGTCAGCTCCGCCATCGCGTCGCGGTACGTGATGGAACCGCTCCGGTAGTTTTGGTGCACCTGCTTCATCCGCTCCGCCTCGGACGTGCGATTCGCCGCCTCGAACTTCTCGGTGAAGACGGCGAGCAAGTCCGACATCTTGACCGACTTTGGGAACGTTGAGGGCGCCTCAGCGGCACCAGCAGCACCCTCCGCAAGCGAAGGCTGCACCGAGACCGCAGCGGGCGGCGCGGCGGGCGCGGATGGCGCGGCGGGCGCGGCGGCCGTCACCGCCGAGAAAGAGGAGGTCGGCAGTGGTCGCAAAGGCGCCGCGGGCGCGGGCGTGGGCGGTGGCGGCGGCGGCATGGGCTCGGCGGACAGCAGCGGCGACGACTGCGGCGTCAGCCGCGCCGCTTCGATCTTGACGACGCTCTTGTGCGGAGATGGCACGACCGGCGCCAGCCCCACCGCCGGAGGCGCCTCTCCCTCCTCCCGCAGCTGCGCCGCGCCGGGCGTGGGGTCCGCCGGCACTACCACCGGCGGCAGCTTCGCTGCGGCCAGCGTGGGTGCCTCGCCTGTGACGTCCACGACGCGATGGGAAGGGCTCGTCCACGCCGGCCAGTGGGAGACCGGCTCAGGGTTCCGCTGCGGGGGGATCGCGTCGCCGCCTCGAGCCGCCTCCTCGCCCTCCTCCGTCGCGCCACCGCCCGCCGGCTCGCCGCTGTCCGCCTCGCCGCCAGGAGCGGCCGTGGCAGCAGCAGCGGAGTGGGCCGCCGCAGCCCGGTCCTCCGCCGGCGCGGCTGACGGCTCCGGTGCCACGAGCTCGGGCGCCACCGGCTCCGCCGCCGGCTCTGGCGCCGCCGGCTCTGGCGCCGCCGACGCCACTGGCTCC